ACTGGAAAACTGACTTGTCAAATCCTACTTTTTACATGGTCTAAAAAGCTATCTATTTATATAAAATACAGTATATAAAAAAATATAACTAATATGTCTAATATATTGTATATGTCAAATATGTCTGATATGTTATATATGCCAAATCTATCTAATATATCTTATTTGTTGATCATGTCAGATATATCATATATGTCAAACATGTCAGAAATGTCAGATATGTCAGATTTGTCAGATTTGTCAATCATTTGCACTACGTAGGTCCTATCACATTTTATCCATTAATAATATTAATATATTATTTATAGGAATACCCCAAGGTTTTATTGCTAATTTTACATCTAGATTTTTACAAGCAATGATTTCAGTTTTTAAAAATACAATCAAATAACCAACAGAAAATAATATTGAAAATATTATACATAATTTTATATGTTTATGATTATGGTCATATTTAGATAAAGTCATTGGAGTAATAGATATAAAAATCCATTTATTTGTAGAATATTCTGACAAATATATTAATTGTAAAAAGTTTTATTCTTTAGTATTATTAGGTATAGTTGATGTAAATAAAAAATTTACATATATATATACAGGAGAACTAGGTTCTATACATGATTCAAGAGTACTTAGAAGATTACCGTTATAGGAACAAATTATGTTTAATAAAGAAAGATAAGTAAAAATTTTTAACAATTTAAATTTTAATTAAATAAATTTTATTAAATATATATATATATATATTAAATTAATACATATTTACTAGGAGATTTTGGATTTCCACTTAAATCTTAATTAATTACATCTTTTAAAATAATACACAAAGAAATGATTTAAAAAAATTTTAACAAAATACATTCTTCAATGCATATTGTTGTTGAAAGAGCTTTTGGTAAACTTAAAGCTAGATGGAAAATTCTTGGGAAAGAAAGAATATTTAGTCATAATTTGGATAATATGATTCAAAAAATTTATATTTGTTATTTACTTCATAATATATGTATAGAATATTTGAATTTTTAGGAACTTAATGATGATGAAGTAGATGAATATGATATTAATGATAATTTTGATATTCTGAAATAGAAAATAAAGAAAATTCTAGAAGGTTAGAATTAGTATAAGATTTATTTACAGATTATTGATATTTATATTTTAAAAAGAATGAGTAAAGTATATCAAATATAATAAATGTTGTATTTATAGTACATTTTATATTTTTGCAATTATTTCGTCTTTCAGTAATCTGATTTGGATAATTTTTGGTTTTTTGTGAAGCTTAAGTTGAGATGATCATGATAGTAGTTATTTTACGATATTCTGATATGTAGGATCTGAAATATTCACGTCTGAAACATTTGTATAAATAATAATCTATATAAGATTTTTTTATTTTTTAAATTATAATGCAATTAAAAAAAATACATATATAATTTATTTTATATAGCAATTTATTTAGCAATTTATTTATTGTGATGTATTAGTCATTCATATTTTAAATGTTATAATTTAATAACATTTATATACATATTATTTAATCAAAAAAATTATTCTTTTTATTTAATATCATTATATATATTTTTAAGCAATTCACCAAATCCTTTTAATACATTAATTATTTTTCTCTTTATTTCATTTGATTCTTTCATCATTTTTTCCTTCTATTCTTTTTCTTCTTTATGCCATTCTCTTTCTTTTTCAATTTTTTGTTTAATAATTTCATTTATACCAGTCTTATCATTATTAATCTTTTTCTTTTTAACTGTTTTAATACTATTATTTGTATCAAGTAAATCATCATACTCTCTTTTTTTATTAATACCAATTGTATCAATAATAGCATATGAATTTACTGATAGATCATCTTTTAAAATTTCACACATTTTATCTGTATGTTTAAAATTGGTTGATACCCCTCCAGTTTATTTTTCTTTCATAGCTAAGTCTTTGTATTGTTGAATTAAAATGTTCTAACATTTCTATAAAATAAAATTTAAATTAATAACTTATTTTAAATTATTTAAATTATTTTATTAATAAAAAATATATTACTTAAAGTTACAATACCTAAATCATTTTTTGTTTCTAAATAAATAATTTTCACAATGGTTATCAGCTATTTTATTTCAAATTTGTTCTTTTGCACTATTTAATTTTTGTTTTTTAAGTTCTGGATAAAATATAGCTATTATTTCAATTAATAACGTGTTTCTTGAAAAGTCTAATTAATCCTTTAGATACTTTTGGTAAAACATCATTTTTATTAGTTAATTTTTATAAAAACTTGGAAGTTTTTTGTTTAATTTTAGGAGTAGGTTTAATGTTAATATTTTTTTCATTTAAATCAAATTCATCATAGTAATTTTCATAGGAAACTTTATTACAAATAGTTGGACTTGAATAAAATCATAAGAAACTCTGATTTTATCATTAAAATTATTATTATAAAACATATTTTAGGAAGATAAGATGTAGATAAAAAAGTAAAAAATGAAGAATAGTTGTTAGAATTTGAATTAAACTGTGAAAGTTTATCTGAAATTTGGTTTAATTCAAAACCAATTTTATTATAAGGAGGTATTATTGTTTATATTATTCATATATGTGTTCATTTTATTAATGAATTAGTAAAAAAAATACTGTATATGTAAAACTTTCATGTTTCGCGTATTAAATTTATTAGATTTTAAAATAGTTTTAAAGCTGAATGTTGCTTAAGTTACATATTGACTCAAGCTGTAGTATAAATAGTTTACCCTGCATAAGGGTTTATTCTGAAATGAGAACAGCCAATTAATATATATATAGTGTATTACACTGTTACTAGCTAAAAATTCATTATTGAAAAGTTGATCTATAAAGAATTATCAAATAATCTATAGAAATCACTGGAATTAATTTTATATCAATCACAAATTAGAAGATCTGCATAATTCTGGATTCATAAAAAACTTGCTTTTGAGTTCGTCACTTAGAATAAACAAATTCTCTATATTTTTCTCCAAGTCCCTAAACCTTTAAGTTCAAAAAGTCAAGCAAAGTAATTCCAAGATATTTTAGATACTTATAGGACGTGAAATTCCTAAAGTTATAAGTCTAAAGATAAGGAATTTACTTATTACAGTAAAGTAACTTAGTAAAACACGTGCGATATAAAGAGAATTATTCCTGGTAATAACGTTACATATATATTAATTATTTATTAGTATAATATAGATATTTAAAGATCATGTAATTTACTAATATTAGGATTCCACAATTTGATTTGATATTTGAATATTTGATTCAAATCAAAGAATGATTTATTTGATCAAATTCAAATTAATGTTTGATTTGATTCGATCAAATTCAAATCAAGTATTCAAATATTTAATTTGATTTGAATCAATAATAAAACTATATCTAAAGTTTCAGGAGTGGCTCTTACTAAGAAAACTATAATAAAAAACACCTCTGTAGCTTTGGAAATGCCTTTTTACTAAGAAAACTATAGCAAAAAAGTGCCTTCATAGCTTTAGAAATGCTTTTTTTACTAAGAAAACTATAGTAAAAAGTGCTTTTGTAATTTCAGAAATGCCTTTTTTACTAAAAAAAAAAAAAAAAAAGCATAGTAAAAAATGACTTTACAGCTTTGGAGACATTATTTTACTAAAAAAAATAGTAAAAAATGCCTTTGCAACTTCAGATATATTTTTTACTAAGAAACCTAGTAAAAAAACACGTCTGCAACTTTGAAAACATTTTTTTACTAATAAAATTGTTATAAATATACATGAAGTCGAAATGAAAACCCAAAAGTCAAAATGTTTCGACTTTGGAGGTCAAAGTCGAAATGAAAAGTCGA